GAACCTGGCACCACTCAAGCATAGTTTGTACGATGCAAGAAAAACAATTAGGTTTAGCCAACTAGTTGTACAAAAAAAATAAATATTCTCCTCATGAAAACACTAATGCTCATCGTTGTGCTTGATTTTATTTTAACGAGCCAAAAGATGTTTCATAAATTACTCTTTAAAAGGCACTTACACCCCTGCGTTAAGATGTGACGACCATTTGACAAGATTAAAAGAAATTCGAATCAGTGTTTTTTATTGTTCACCAAAATATTTCAATGAATAACGGTTTTCTGTAGACTACTTATTTGTTGTCTTGTTAGTTTAAATATCCGGTTAGAGAGTAACTTATTATTTTTTTTTTACTTCTACCAAACCCCGAAATATACGAAATTGTTAACTTAATAACTGATTAAGTTACTGAATACTAAAAAAGTGTGATTTAACCATATAAGTAAATTCGAAAAAACTTTAGCGTTCGATGATAAAACTGTTTTTACCAAAACAACCTAACATAAAAACATATCCAAAACGGTATAGTATCATTTTGATCGTATTTTAATCACAAACTAGCTAAATGTGTTATCTAATTGAAAATTAACAAGCTGGCAGCAGACTGCCAAATTGCTCTTAGTTAAGCCTCCTCAGCGTGATCGTACCCTGGCTGGAACTGGAAACAAATTATAAACTTTAGGGTGGATAGTTCGACGAACTTTATTAGGGCTGTATGTCCCTTCGGTTTCATTTTACATTATGTAACCAAACATTTACTAACTACATGTTTTTTTTAGATATTGTTTTCAGAATAAAATATGATGTCATGTTTAAAATAGTTCTGCTTTTGTTTCAAAAATTTAAGTAACATTTTGTGATGCTGGATTATTTAATTCTTTATAAATATCTTTTATGCTCAACAGTATTGTTGAAGGCAATTTGATAAAAGTACTTTTTTAAACATGAATTATATTTTATATGCTTTTAAAATGAGTTTTTAGACCAAACTAATACATTTCTGTCAACTTAAAAAAATTTAAAAGTGGGTTTATTCAAAAATAACAAAAACTGATTAAATACTTCGACATTATTGACATTTTACATAAAGCAACGATGTTTAAATAATATTTATAATTAAATTTCAAACCTAACGTTTTCACTTTTACTTAATCTTTTCATGAAAAATAAAATTTTGGTTGAATATTTCTTGCTTACTACAGTTATTGGGTAATAAAATCGAAGAAACAAAAATAAATTACATAAATACATACCAACGTATTTAAGCAACCAAAAAACTATAAATCCTCAACGCTTTGAAATTGTTATCGAAACCGAAACAAACTAGTTCTAAAACTCTACAAACACAAATATAATACCAAATAAATGACAGCCCTAATATACGAGTACAACTTAACTAAAGCACACTATATTACAAAATATTCATCTTTACAAAACTTTCAAGAAGTATACAGGCTTGTTGAGAAAGTTACCCTCCGTTCCCTCCAAAAGTGTTTACGCGACAACACAGGCGTTCACCCTCTATCAGCTGACAGCGAGCACGTCTCACAGGTAACACGTGACTTGATAAGCATGACACGCAGCGGCCATCTTGGAATACTGATTACACCAAACCTAGAAGAGGACTTTATCACACTCATTGCTGCCACTGCATGCGTTAATTAGTTTTTGGCTTTTTGACAAAATTTCGTCAAATTTGTCTAAAGTTTTTCGACTGACGAGTTAAGTATTTTATGTGGTTACTATTCTAATTGTAATTGATGTTTGGTCTTCTATAGATTCATCATATTTTTAATATGTTTTATTACTCGGTTTGGATAAATTAAGTAGCCTTTACCAACTTGCTCTGTAAAATAGCATAATAAGTGTTATGCCGTGCTGATAACATTTTAAAATTCGCTGTTGAAGAATTTTTCAAAAGAGAAAATGTTTCTTAAGAAATCAACCATCTTGGAATTAATATGATTTTAACAATTACCAGTAAACCTTCATCCAAAGAGTCTCTATTTCACTTCAATTAAATATAAGAACTATGTCTCAGCATGGATTTCTCCCAAATTTACATATCTCAAATACCAGTAGGGACATATAAATACAGTGATAGATTCGTATGTATTGCATTACCGACAAGTAAATTTATCATGGCAAAACATGAAAAAAAACACTAATTGAACACATCCAGCGCAGCTGTAGGCCTCATGTTTACGCCTAATTACCTGCCTGTCGATGTGACTTTTTCATTCCAACCCTAATTAACACATGTGTAAAACGCCATGATTATTAAGTTAATATTTCCAAAAAATCCAATACTATACACTATTTATTTTTGAATTGATTACAAACTAACTAACTTTAAACATAGTAGTTGGTGTTTTGAACTATAATCCCTCCTTATACAGGTTTTAAAAAGTTCAATAATTATAAAGTACACTATAACACGTAGCTTGAAGTTCAACCATTTAAAAAATATGAAGCAAATACCTTAAAACTGTACAAATACTTATCATTGAAATATACATTTCTAACTCAGAGTATTATATATTTTAAAATGTTATTTTGAGGAAATATGCTACAAAACAGGTTCTCTACTACATTATAGTAATGACTTTAAAACAATTTGCCTGAAAATAATCATTTAATTTATATTATTATATTATTATTATTTTTCATGTTTTGTGACATTTTTACACACGACGACGTAATACATATTATTTTCAAGTTACATTAGTATTTCACTTTTTACTCGTTCTTTTCATCCACGTTATTTGTAACGGTAACCGCAATTACCTAACACTACGTGATCCTTTTGCTGGTTATACTTAGTGGAAGGGCCATATATAAAAATATAACTAATATTACGGAAACAATGTTTTTCAAGAGTAAAAAGTACCTACATTTTTGTATTTTATCCTTGTGCTGTAATGGCAAACAATTAATTCCAGCTCATATTACGACTTGATCAATATCACACAAATACCAATCACAGTGCTTGTACAATGTCACATAAGTAGGGAGACAATGCACGTTGATGAGGTTTACTGATGAAGCGATGACGTAGCATACTGACTAACTTCCATCCGAGTAGATTGAGTTATAGAAGTAACGGCAATTGTGTTTAATATTCCCTAAAAATTTCCAATCGTTCCTAAACATTTTAGACGTCTAATTCTCATGAAGTATACTAAAACTTTAAAAGGTTTAGGATTTAGTGTAATTGAATCCTGTTGAGGTTACCACTTTGCAGAGATTACAATTGGGGAGGTTCCACTGCTATAAGAATTCAACAAAAGCAATACATACAGCCATGGAATAACTGTATATTTGACGTTTTTATTTGTATAATTGTTATTTAAATAGTAATGCCGTTGTTCCGAGATTGATTCAAAGACTAAAACAAGAAACTAAAAAAGAATGAGACATTAACTTGTTCAAATATACAATAACAACATATTACGATGATTATAACTAGCACATTTGATTTTACCTAATAATACTTAGATATAGTACGCGAACTGTACAGCATAGTGTTTAAATTGACCAGAACCCATTATCAAGGACTTATAGCATGGAAATAACAGGCAATCCCTTTCTGGTGTCACAAAAACAACAATTCCATAGTATTTTAGGCAAGCTAGTTATTTTACAAGTCTTTCCAAGACATAGCACAAACCGAGAGCCTCATTAATTTTTCCTTCCCATTTGTTTCCCTCTGCCTATTCTTGTTATATTAAGAGATGAGTTTATCATAAATAACATAACATTTTACAAACATTGTTATAAATAATACAACAGTTAGGTATAATAGAGTAGGGACCTACATAAAAAATAAACAAATTTATTAAAGGACAAGTAAATAGTTTGTAAGCGCAGTAGTTATATTTGCCAAATTACGAAAATTCATACTGCATCAAAATCTACCCCTTATTGTTACTGACCATTGAGTTTTTTTGAATAAAATTAAACTAAACTGAGCAACTAATTTTCTTTTCTAAAAAAAGTTATAGAAAGAGGAGTGATTCTGTTATTAAGAATTATTATATACATGGATTACAAACGATTTCTAAGTTAATCGTCTAGGCAAATGGTCAAAAGAGTCTGAATTAGTCATCTCCTCTATTTCTAAAAAAACTGTTTAACAGTTTTGCATGCCAGGTGGTGCATGGAATAATCAATCACATCGCAGATTATTTTTGTTTGCACTTAATTTGTGTCAACATTGTAATTTACACCAATTAAATTGTTTTTCTTTTTTTAGTTTCTAACACAATACTTAAGAAAAGTTTCTTATTAGTTTACTGTACACGGAAGCATTAAGATGTTACTTGAAGAAATATAAAATTTGCAAATAAACCTTACTCAGATGGTAAACGTAACGTAATGTATCAAATCAGGAACTAGAATATTTAGTGTTGAAAGGATTTCGGTGAAAATATTATGGAATATGTTCTCAACCGACTGGAAATTCGATTGAACAAAATGGTTTAATTGTGCATAACTATGTTTTACTGACATCGTACATTGAGATAATTAAGTAACTAAGTAAGCTACAGTATATTCAGCGCAATACGGGCTCATTTTTAAAGTTTGATTAAACTTTACCAATCCCAATAAATAACTCTTTGTGATATACGGTACAGATATATATCTTTTGATGTCAATGGGAGGCAAACCACCACTAACAGAATCATTCTCTAACGTATCCCCGTTCTTCACGCTTAGCTCACATTAAACCTACACCTACACTTTCCCCGCCAAGTTTAAACGTCATAATTAATTTCAACGCAGTAAAACACGCCACCATCCGGTCGAGGATAAATTCTCGCTTATTTGTGCGGGAGCCGCAAATCATAATGGTATCTGCAGCAGAGCTGCGACCGCTCAGCCGTCGTGCATTGTAATTATTCAAGGGAGGCCTGAGGGTGGCTAGTGGGAGGTGGGAGGTGGGAGGTGGTGGGAAACAGTGAAAGGTGGGGGAAGCAGTACCAGTTGAGGGTGAATTTTCTCCGCGTAAAGTCGCGTGAGTCGATACAATGCCGCTGTGGTTCCAGCTCACTTGATTTCCGTGGTGCAGTGTAGTGAATAGTGTTGGATAGTTTATGTGGTGAATTTTGGATATCGTAGCATAAGGAGTCTAATACAACCACCTGGTAAGAGTAAAATGATATATTTGTTGTACCGGTATATTGTAGAATTTGCTGTGGTCAAGCTGACAGAGTGAATAGTTCTATACAGATTTTGGTCGAGAGTTGTATTGACAGTTTATAGTTAACTTACGCAGAACAGAATAATTCCTGTGCCAGCCCGTTGTTGACACAGCTGCATTGGCGTGCATTTACAATACGGGTTGAATCGTTTATTTCATTGTAAGCAGTCCCAAATTTGATAATGGGTAAAACACTAGGAAGAATGACCGTGTATGTGTATTTACCTCCTCATTGCACTGTGTTAGAATACTAAACACTTAGTTGTAGTATTAAATCCCGAGTACAATTTGCTGTTAGCTGCATGATTGACATGTTTCATCGGTTGACCTTAAATTAGCACCTTGCAATATTAACTACAGTTCCAAATGTGTAAATAAAAAACATAATAATAATATTTGGCTACTTGTACATTAATGGTGTATATAAAGACTGGTGGCCTACAATTATTTCCAATTTGTTATAAAACCAACAAGGAAATACTACGATATTATATTATATAAGTGTATGTTTCATGTTCCTAATGATCCGATTACCGTGATGCATATTATAAGTAGTTTATAATCGTATTTTACACGAACTTGTAACACAGTACCGTTAATTTATCTGTTCCGCAAAATTAACGAATTACGTATTTAATGATAAACATTTTTTAGGGTATTAAAAAATGTTAAACATACTTTAGTTGAATACAGATCACAAAAGTGTCTGTTGAAGTTATTATTCTATTTTATATTTAAATCAACACCAGCTGTAATATTTCTCACAATTTTAAACAAATAATACTATAACATAGAGTGTCAGACATAAGAATCGTAATATCTTATCAGATAAGTGAATAAATAAAAAGAGAATGTTTCATGCTGCACTTGTTTTCCATATAATTGATTAGAAAAAGACTAAAACCGAGAAAAAAATACTTTAATACATCGTTTTCTGTATTAACTATTTAAATTTGCTACCCAAAAAATAAATCACAAGGAAACCATTGTATGCGATATTTTAATGTAGTCTGCCAGGTTTAAATAGATATCCAGCAGCCACCACTAAATATAAACAACCGGTTTTACAATACATTTCTTTTCAAACATTTTGACCAAAATTTAGTAGGCCCTGTTCTTTTATATATAGATTTAAAAATACTAAAAGCAAAGACATCGGGTCGATGAGAGCTTGGCCACGTGGAGTTGAATGGTCTCGTATTGATCTAACTTCCACCCCCAACGCCCTACCGCATGACTCATACAACTGAGGGAAGTCATACAATAAACTCATCAAACAACACTGACTATAGGCTAAACACTCTATGGCATCATCTGATATAAACAACAAACATCGACCATCAGCGTCCTACCTCATGTTTCATACAACTGAGGGAAGTCATACAAAGATAAACTCATCAAACAACACTGACTGTAGGCTACACACTCTTTGGCATCATCTGATATAAACAACAAACATCGACCATCAGCGTCCTACCGCATGTCTCATTCAACTGAGGGAAGTCATACAAAGATAAACTCATCAAACAACACTGACTGTAGGCTACACACTCTTTGGCATCATCTGATATAAACAACAAACATCGACCATCAGCGTCCTACCTCATGTCTCATACAACTGAGGGAAGTCATACAAAGATAAACTAATCAAACAACACTGACTGTAGGCTACACACTCTTTGGCATCATCTGATATAAACAACAAACATCGACCATCAGCGTCCTACCGCATGACTCATACAACTGAGGGAAGTCATACAAAGATAAACTCATCAAACAACACTGACTATAGGCTAAACACTCTATGGCATCATCTGATATAAACAACAAACATCGACCATCAGCGTCCTACCTGATGTCTCATTCAACTGAGGGAAGTCATACAAAGATAAACTCATCAAACAACACTGACTGTAGGCTACACACTCTTTGGCATCATCTGATATAAACAACAAACATCTACCATCAGCGTCCTACCTCATGTCTCATACAACTGAGGGAAGTCGTACAAAGAAAAACTCATCAAACAACACTGACTGTAGGCTACACACTCTTTGGCATCATCTGATATAAACAACAAACATCGACCATCAGCGTCCTACCGCATGACTCATACAACTGAGGGAAGTCATAAAAAGATAGACTCATCAAACAACACTGACTGTAGGCTAAACACTCTTTGGCATCATCTGATATAAACAACAAAGCTCGACTATAAGCGTCCTACCGCATGACTCATACAGCTGAGGGAAGTCATACAAAGATAAACTCATCAAACAACGCTGACTGTAGGCTGAACACTCTTTGGCATCATCTGATATTAACAACAAACATCGACCATCAGCGTCCTACCGCATGGCTCATACAGCTGAGGGAAGTCATCAAACAACACTGACTGTAGGCTAAACACTCTTTGGCATCATCTAAAATAAACAACAAACATCGAAAATCAGCGCCCTACCGCATGACTCATACAACTGAGGGAAGTCATAATAAAGATAAACTCATCAAACAACACTGACTGTAGGCTAAACACTCTATGGCATCATCTGATATAAACAACAAACATCGACCATCAGCGTCCTACCGCATGACTCATACAACTGAGGGAAGTCATACAAAGATAAACTCATCAAACAACACTGACTGTAGGCTAAACACTCTTTGGCATCATCTGATATAAACAACAAACATCGACCATCAGCGTCCTACCGCATGACTCATACAACTGAGGGAAGTCATACAAAGATAAACTCATCAAACAACACTGACTGTAGGCTAAACACTCTTTGAGATCATCTGATATAAACAACAAAGCTCGACCATCAGCGTCCTACCTCATGTCTCATACAACTGAGGGAAGTCATACAAAGATAAACTCATCAAACAACACTGACTGTAGGCTAAACACTCTTTGGCATTATCTGATATAAACACCAAACATCGACCATCAGCGTCCTACCTCATGTCTCATACAACTGAGGGAAGTCATACAAAGATAAACTAATCAAACAACACTGACTGTAGGCTAAACACTTTTTGGCACAATATGATACAAACAACAAACATCGACCATCAGCACCCTACCTCATGTCTCATATAACTGAGGGAAGTCATACAAAGATAAACTAATCAAACAACACTGACTGTAGGCTAAACACTTTTTGGCACAATATGATACAAACAACAAACATCGACCATCAGCACCCTACCGCATGACGCATACAACTGACGAAAGTCATACAAAGATAAACTCATCAACCATCATGACGGTAGGCTAAACATTGGTTTACACCCCGTATACAAGAAGGTGTTGTGTCAAGCAAAACTTGTATTTTTCTTTCAATTTGAACAGTAAAAACAGTATTAAAGTTCCCTGTTTTCTAGTATTCAAACTACTAAAACAAACAAAAGCATATCTAAACCTCAACAGTGTAGCATATGGTTGAAAAGCTTATAAAATGGCACAGTTTTTAACATATTTGGACACCTTCTTGTATACAGGGTGTAAAAAAATGCAATAGACCAATGTTTTTAAATGTTTATCGAACACCATAATTTTTTCTTGGGATCTATTTACAATGGAGTTTTTACTATTGATCCTCCATCGTTTTCTATTAATCATATTCAAAGTTTAATTTTGAACACGAAAATGGTATTATCTACTCAAATACATTTATAGGTAATTGAGAAATTGCTGTATTAAGTTTAAAAACATGGTTATTTTATAAAAACTTAAAATAATTCTTTGGGAAGCCAATTTTGAGACTTGGGGCCTCTTATATGCATCATCACACTTCAATTACTTTTCACTTACACCAAAACAATTTCGTCACACTGAGTACCAATCACCTTGTATTTCATAATTTAATAGAATAAACAATCTGTAACATTATATGAATAAACTATATTTGTCAACTACTGGTAGTTTTCAGCTTCGTTACTCAAACAACTGGCTTGCGGCATATTTAGATTACATCTCTGGCTGTAGAAAACCATTCTTTTCAGTAGAAGATTGTTTACTTTGAAATACATTTCTTTAAGATTTAAATTGTCATTAAAAACATTACTTTTTTCAGTCTAATGATAAATATAGCTTTTAAGTACATTTTTAGCTCATACGCTATTGTGTACTTGTAGTTAGGTCTATAGTACGTAATTATATATAACTAATGTTCTTTTAAACTCTTAAATGCCTTTAAATTATATCCTCCTTGGATTTGTTTGTTCAACAAATACAATATACCGTATAATAATTTTAATTTTAATTTTAAATTTCATACTATGGGTTTCGTACTTTTTGCGAATAGAGGTAGTAATTACTTTAACTTTGCTTGATTGTTATGAAGAATTGTACCAATTTATGCAATGTTATAACAAACTTTTTAAAGCTGTCAAATAGGTCGATAAAATATTGATGGAACTGCTTTTCTGATATCAGGATGGTTACACTTCAATCCGTATTGACTGCGAAGTATCATGCTATATACCATGTTAATATTCTATCAAAAGGTATGCAGAGTGTTTCAATTACATGTATCTAAAAATTACATCTAAACCATAAAAATAAAATACATATAATACTTTTATTACTCGAATATTGCACTATACATGATAAAAAAAATAATCGTCGTCACATATTTTTACAAAAAATTTTAGATCAATTTATTTTTTATGTGATTCTTTTTATCTTCAAAAGAGCTCCGCTTTACACGGACAAAGTTTGCTAGTCAGCCATCAACTAATCAAACATTTCATGCATAGGTAGATCCTTTGATACTTTGACATCGATAAACTAAAAAGGACCCCCTTTAGTCACGCTAGAATCGTGTCGGTTCCCTTCAGATATTGATTCAGGGCATTGGAAGTAATTTATAATGTGTAGTAGTTCTCTTTAGTTTATGTGTTTTCCATTAATTAAACATGCCTGAAGAGGAATTAGAG